CCAGGTGGGTCTCGAACCTGCGGGCTCAGGCAATTCACTCACCTCAGCCTCCCAAAGCATGGGATTACAGGCTGAGCCACTGAGCCCAGCTGTGTGTTTTCCTAGAAAGAACTTCATACCTAAGATTCTGAGCTTGAGCAGATCTCAAAACTCTCTAATCTCCAGTTACTAGAAATCACTGGCATCCTGTAGCAATTGTTTGCACAAGTAATTTTGCGTGGCAGTTATCCTTTGGAGAGTCAAAATTATGAAGAACTATCTTCTTTTTTTTTTTTTTGAGTTTGAGTCTCACTCTGTCACCCAGTCTGGAGTGCAGTGGCTGCTCCTGGCCACTGCAGCCTTGACCAGCCGGGCTCTGGCGATCCGCCGCTTCAGTCTTTCAAGTAGCTCGAACTACAGGCACGCGCTACCTACCACACCCGGCTAATTTTTGATTTATTGTAGAGATGTGGTCTCGCCAATTTGCCCAAGCGGGTCTCGAACCTGCGGGCTCAGGCAATCCACTCACCTCGGCCTCCCAAAGCGCTGGGATTACAGGCTGAGCCACCAAGCCTGGCCAAGAACTATCTTCTTAAACCATTTTTTTTTTTTTTAATTTGGAGTCTCACTCCATCGCCCAGACTGGAGTGCCATGGCACACTCACGGCCACTCCAGTGTCAACCTGCTGGGCTCTGGCGATCATTCTGCCTCAGCCTTCCAATTAGCTGGAACTATAGGCATGCACTACCACGCCTGGTTAGTTTTTGATTTATTGTAGAGATGAGTTCTCGCCAAGTTGCTTGGGCTGGTATCGAACCCATGGGCTCAGGCAATCCACTCAGTCTCCTAAAATGCTGGGATTACAGGCTGAGCCACCAAGTCCAGCCTTAAATCATTCTTATAAAATCTATTGCTTGAAAGTTCAATTGGTGAGAACAAAATAGGTTTGGGGAGCCTCATTCTTTTTGCCCTAGCATTTCTTATTTCTTTTGTATAGAAAATGATCAGCTTTCACAATCACCATTCACTGCTAGAGCATTTCACGCTTGCAATAAGTATACATTTATATATCAACTGACAGATAGGATTTCAACCTTCAAAGCACATATGAAGACTATTCCCTCCAAATTATTTCTAGAATGCATATGTATGTTGGAAAGCAACATAGTCCAATGTTACCATTAATGTTACCATCAGAATGTTGCCATGCCTGTTCATGATTCTGAAATTAAGGTTGATTTGATATGACAATAACCTATGCGGTCACATGATCATAGATCATGTACAAGTTCAGGGAGGCCAAAGATGATATTGAGGTAGGCATTTGGCTATTCAACTCCAAAACAGAAGTTACAGAGCTAATTTTGGCTGTATTGAAGATTCTGGCAGAACACAGACTGAATCCAACCTTGGGGCATCCTTCCATCTACTGCATCCTTCAACCTTAACTCTATTCTACATGTTCTAAGAAGCCGGTTGTAACTCTTCCCACCCACACTGAAATAGCACGTGGGAGCCCTCGATGACACTTGGATGTCCTAGCTGTGAATCAACCTTGCGATTCCTTGAATTCCCCAGTCTCTGCCTCTGCTCTGCACCAGACAACCCTTTCAAAGGACCCACCCTAAATCCTGTTGTCAGCTTCACCTAGAAACTATAAGCCCAAACACCCCACAGTGTGGTTCCCACTCAGCCTCGTCCCCACCCCAGCCCATCAATCTCATGGAGATCTCCATTTTCTTTTCCCGTTTTTTTTTTTTTTTTGGAGGTAGGGTCTTGCTTTGTCATCCAGGCTAGAATGCAGTGGCACGATCATAGCTCACTGCAGACTTGAACTTCTGGGCTCCAATGCTCCTCCTGCCTCAGCCTCCCAAGTAGTTGGGACTACAGGTACGGGCTACCATATCTGGCTAATTTTTTGGAAAATGCTTTGTAGCGATGCAGTCTCACCATGTTGCCCAGGCTGATCTTAACTTCCTGGTCTCAAGTGATCCTCTCTCACTTCAGCCTTCTAAAGCAGAGATTTCCAGTTTCTTGGTTCCTCCCTTGTCCTCCACCAGCCCACCCCCTGCCTTCCGCCTCTACTGTACTCAGCTTCGACCTGTGGCTGGGTACAGGAACTACTTTGACCAGTCCCTCAGGACCTTCCTTATAAAACTCGAACCTGGGATCAACCCACCAGCTCCCCTCCTGCCCCAGGCTGTGGACATAAAACCCACACTATGTGTAGGTCAGCATCACTATAGAGGCCAAGCCTTGTCCGTTCCCCTCCCCCCAGGAGTGGTTCCAAACCTTTACCACTCTCACCAGGTCCCACCCCCTGATGCTCAGCAGATCACTGTGACTTCTCATCTGGCCTGCTTCCAGGTCCTGCTCCCAGATTCCTGGATCCCAGATTCCTGGATCCTCAGAGGAGGCTTTTCTTTTCTTTTCTTTCCTTGAGTAGTAGTTTCACTCTGTTGCCTAGGCTGGAGTGGAGTGGCACACTCATGGCCACTGCAGCCTTGACCTACTTGGCTCAGATGATCCTTCCAAGTAGCTGGAACCACAGGTGTATACCACCACGCCTGTCTAATTTTTTGATTTATTGGCGAGACAAGGTCTCACTAAGTTGCCCAGGCTGGTCTTGAACCCCTAGACTCAGGCAATCCTCTCTCCTCTGAAAGTGCTGGGATTACAGGCGTGAGCCACCACGCCTGTCTCAGAGGAGGCTTTTCAGGGCCAGCCTCCCACATTCTGAGGCATGTTTTCCTTCCTGAGCTCCTCCAAGTAGATCTTTCATGGACATATTCTCCAGGGCACAGTCCTGAGTGACCTTCCCTTCTCTCTGTACAACCCCACTTCTTCCTCACCCTCTCACTCTCATAGAAAAGCTGAAGACCCCTCAAGCTCCTGAATCTGCCAAATGCACCTCTACCCACCCGCATGGGGCACTTCAAACTAACACGTGAGATCCCAGTCTCTTCGTCTTTGCCCCCAAACCTGCCTTTTGTTATCTCTTAGTTCCAAGTCAGCCATCACCCAGCACCTAAGACAAAAACCCTACCTCCTCCCTCCCTCATCTCCCACATCCAGTCAGCCACTGGATTTGATCTAGCAGATTTGACCGGATCTGCCTAGATATTTCTCAGATCTATTCCCTCTTCTCTGGACCATGTCTACTTGATCCCTTACCCACACTATTAGTGTGGCAGAATGTTCTCAAAGATGGCCACATCATCATCTTCCACCCTGCATGCCTTCTGTGACGAGACTATATAATTCCTCAGAAGTCAGGAAGTTGAGGTTGTCTCTCTCCCCTTGAGTCTGGGCTGCCCAGTGACCAGCTCTGATGCCACGTGGCTTCCACGGACAGGCTCCAAGGGGCCTCACGGCTTCCACTTTTGGGTTCTCAGATCTCCCTCTCTCCTGTGACCGTGCACTAAGGGAGCTCAGGTTTGCCCTCCCCCCTCTCTGACCTCACTATCTGCCACCCCATGGTGCACTCTATGCTCTGAAATCCCCAGCTCCAGAAGGTTCTCTAAGTTGGCCAGGAAGTTTTGTGCTCCCCCATCTCTGTGCCCACACTGCTCCCAGTGTCTGTGATCACCTTCTCCCCTGTCACTTTGTCTGGCTCACTTGGTCTCAGCCTTCAAGACTCAGTTTGGCCTCCCAGGCCCTGTCACTGGGCTCCCAAAGTACTGCACGCTGCCATCACAACACCTGTCACACTGCCCTGAATCCCCGAGTTCCATGTCAGTCCTCCCCATTGACTGCAAGCTACCTGAGGACAGGACTTAATCAAAGAGAGGTGGGATCTTGCTACATTGCCCAGATGGTTTTCTTTTTTTTTTTTTTGAGTTGAAGTTGCACTCTGTCACCCCGACTGGAGTGCAGTGGCATACTCCCGGCCACCACAGACTCGATTCGCTGGGCTCTGGCGATCCCTCTGCCTCTGTAGTTCCAAGTAACCAGAACTACAGGCGCCTGCTATCGTGCATGGCTAATTTTTTGATTTATTGTAGAGATGAGGTCTTGCCAAGTTTCCTGGGCTTGTCTCGAACCCGCAGGCTCAGGCAATCCACTCGCCTCGGCCTCCCAAAGTACTGGGATTACAGGCTGAGCCACTGAGCCCGGCCTCCAGATGGTTTTCAACTGCTGACCTCAACCAATACTCCTGCCTCAGTCTCCCAAAGCACTGGGATTACAGGCACGAGTCACTGTGCTCAACTGATTTTCTTCACTCTTTAAATGCTCAGTACCTAGCACATGGTCAGCATTCAACACATGTTTGTTAAATTAAACCAGATTTGCTAAATCTGCTCCAGCTGAGACTATCTTGTCATCTGATGTTCTGTGACTGGTGTTCTGGCCCTAAGGATAGCACAAGAGCCTTAGGCCCGGGACCACATCTCCTCTAACAAGTCTGCAGACACATAGGGTCCGGACCCCAGGCAGCTAGGCAACTCCAAGGCCCCTGCGCAGTACTCACAGGTGTGGAAGGGTGTCCGGTCGGGCAGGGAGCGGGTTTTCCTTCGAATAGGCAGTGACTTTTCCATCTCTTCTTTCAAGATCATCTTTCCCAAGTTGGAAGTGACCTGAAGGGGGAGAAAGGAAGGGGGACCCAAGACACACATACTCGCTTGTCATCTCCAGAAAGTACAGGGTTGGGTATACTGCAGACAGGACTGGGGACATTTCCCCATGTGGCTGGATTGTGTCCAGGGAGTCCTCACTCTTAGATGACACACGGCCATGTTAAGTTTGGCCACCCTTACTTAACATGAGAGCTAGGAGTCAGAGCTGCTCACTTCCACCCTGGTGGCCTCCCTGTCCCGGGTCACCTGGCCCAGAGCACAAGCCCATGTCACCATCAATGGCCTTTCTGTGGCTCTCAACGCTCTCCTTCCTCCCCTGGAGACCCTTTTTCTCTTCCCTTAAACTACTCAGCCTGCTGAAGCCCAGCACTGGTGGGACCCCCCTTTTCTGTGTCTTTGACCATCATTCCAAGCAGGATCCCCCTGAAAGCAGCATAAAGTGCAGAAACCTGGGATCCTGGGAAAGAAGAGGGCTGTCTCATATTCCCATAGGGGTGCTTTTCTGGCACGGACCCCTTGGACTAGCTATGGAGCCAGAACTTTTGTCCCCAAGCAGACAGAGGATGGGGGGATGACAAGATGCTACCTTACTGAGTTCTTCTTTCTGACGCTCTCTGAGAGCCTTCATCTCCTCTCCAGAATCATCATCTTCCTCCTCCTCCTCTTCCTCTGCCCCCCTCCGAGAGGCCTTCCGCTTCCTCCATTCTGTCTCTAGAAGACACGGGCAAAAGCAGGTATGACAGTCAATCAACCATTCACTCAACAAGCATTTATCATCCATCCTGGGCTGGGCCATGGAGAAGCCACTACAGTTCAGTCATTCATTTATTTTTTAGAGACGGTTTTTCTCTGTCACTCAGGCTGGAGTATAGTACAGGCTCATTACAGCCTCAACCTCCTGGACTCAAATGATCTTTCCACCTTAGCCTCCAATGTAGCTGGGACTACAAGTGTGCTCCACCATGGCCAGCTAACATTTTTATTTCTGTAGAGATGGGTTCTTGCTATGTTGCCCAGGCTGGTCTCGAACTCCTGGCCTCAGGCAGTCCTCCCACCTTACACTCTCAAAGTGCTGGGATTACAGGCATGTAAACCATGATGCCCGGCTATGTTTTTTTTTTTTTTGGTAGTAAAGATAAAGGCTGGGCTCGGTGGCTCAGCCTGTAATCACACGCTTTGGGAGGCCAATGTGAGTGAATTGCCTGACCCCGCCAGTACGAGACCTGCCCAGGCAACTTGGTGAGACCTCATCTCTACAATAAATCAAAAATTAGCTGGGTGTGGTAGTATGCATCTGTAGTTCCAGCTACTTGGAAGGCTGAGGTGGAAGGATCGCTGGAGCCCAGCAGATCGAGGCTGCAGTGGCCGAGAGCAGCCACTGCACTCCAGTCTGGGCAACAGAGTGAGACTCCAACTCTAAATAAATAAATAAATAAATAAATAAATAAATAAATAAATAAAGTAAAATAAGGCTGGGTTCGGTGGCTCAGCCTGTAATCCCAACACTTTGGGAGGCTGAGGCAAGTGGATTGCCTGAGCCCACGGGTTCGAGACCAGCCAGGGAAACTTGGCAAGACCTCATCTCTACGATAAGAAAAAAAAAATGAGCCAAGTGTGGTAGCTCGTGCCTATAGTTCCAGCTACTTGGAAGGCTGAGGCGGAAGGATTGCCTGAGCCCCGCAGGTCGACACTGGGGTGGCCATGAGTGTGCCACTGCACTCCAGCCTGGGTGATGGTGTGATACTCCAACTAAAAAAAAAAAAAAAGGCAAAATAAGAGTAACATTTCCTCACCTTGCCATGAAGCTGGGTACACAACACACAACACACAACACACACACACACACACACACACAAACTAGAATTCATTAGGTGCAGCAACATGGGTGTCACTGGAGGCCATTATCGGAAGTAAAACAACTCGGACACAGAAAGACAAACACTGCCTGTTCTCAACTAGCGGTGGGAGCTAAATAATGTGCACATAGGGACACAGCACGTGGAATGATGAATATTCCAGATGCAGACTTGGAAGGGTAGTGGGGGGATAGAGGGTAAAAAAATTACTTAATGGATACAGTGTACGTTATTTGAGTGATGGCACTGTTGTTATATGGGCGATGGATACCATAAAAGCTCTGACTTTACAAAATCTACGCATGTAACAAAATTAAACTTGTACCCCATACTTTTATACAAATAAAATAAAATTCACTGGGGACCAAACCTGATTTTGTTTATCTTTCTCTTTCCCAGAGCTCCTATCATAGGCCTGGAATGCCGTGGAAGCTAGATAAATGTCTGTTGAGTCATGGAATGAATGAGTGGGAAGCGAATGAATGACTAACAAACAGGGCAGCTGACATCAAGAGTTTTAGGACAGCAGGGCACGGGCAAGCCACGAGCCGGGCCCTCACCAATGTGAGAAAAAGCCCGTAAGGACGCGGAAGGGCATAGGGCAGGGGTTCATGGGGCTTCAGCAGGAACCATGAGGGAGGTGGCAGATGGGCATCCTGGCCCCCCGTCTCTCCCCTCTCCCATCTCTCATACCCACGACAGCCAGAGAAGGGGGGCAGGGCCAGTAGTCAGTCTCGATCTTGGCCGGTTGGTTGGGGTCAGGGGGCTGGGCCGCAGGGAACTTGGACGACTCGATGATGAGGTCCTCGATGAGGTGCTTGCTCTGAGGGCTGCCTCCCACGGACTCTGTAGCAGACGCCAGGGTCAGCCAGGCACACCCCACCCAAGGCTGACCCAGCCACCCTCTGCCCCCGACTCCCTCACCCTTGCCCCTTCATACCCGTGAGGTCTGCACGTCAAAGCGACCCAGGGTCAATCTCCTGTGCTGTTGTGACCCGTGTTTTCCCATGCCCCTTTCAGCCAGCCCCCCTCCCCACCGAGCACAGCCTCCCAGCGTGTGGTAAGCTGGAGGGGGGGGGGCTCTCACCTCTCTGCTTATAGATGGGAGGCTTCTTGTAGATGTTGGAATCCGGGCGGGTGGTCTCTGCAGGAAGGAGCAAGAGTGGATGAGGAGGACAAGCTGATGGCAGGAGAGGCAGGGGAGGCTGGGTCCGCGAGAATGGAGACCACGGGATGGGAGGAGGTGGGGAATTCATGGCTCCTGCCAAGAGCCAGAGTTCCTATCCCTGTCCCTCAGGTGCTAGTAGACTGCACTTTTCTGGCTGGGGGGAGGGAAGACGCAATAGGCTGCCATTTCTGGGAGGGGTCCTGGGGTCAAGGGGTCCGGTCAGGGGAGCATGAACCTCAGAGAGTGGGGACTGAGAGAAAGGGGCCTGGGGTTCCTGAGGAAAAAAAGGAGTCTTAGGGGAACGACGTGGCCATGCCAACACGACCTACCAGGGTGGTGGAAATGGGGCAGGCTGGTCCGGGGAGTTCCAGTGGTTCTCGGGGCCGCAGCCTGAGAGAGGACCCCGGGGGACCGGCTGTCCGCCCACACCTGAGGAGTAGAAGCGTGAGGCTCCAGGGACCCCCACCACCGGCTCCAGCCTGCACAGGCACCGTTTCACCTCACTCCCCCTCCCTGTCCTCCCACCCTGGCAGGCCATCCCAACCCCAGGGCAATGCTGAGGCACAGAAAGTGTATCTGGGGACCTGCTGACGGTGCCTGGCCCGGAGGGAAAGGGTCAAATGAGGCCCTGGGTCAGAATGAGCGACACAGAGCGAGCCAGTGACAGCCTGGGGTCTGCGGATTCGGTCACCCCCTGGGCTCTGCAGAGCTCTGTCTGGTCATGTGTGGGGGAGGGGAGCTGGGGCCCCTCTGGAGCAGGGCTGGGCAAGTTTCCGGTGGGGCAGACTCACCTCTGGCGATGGTGGGGGGGACGTGGACTTGGGTGACAGCGAGCGCTGTGAATGCAAAGAGGACAGGCTTCAACCCTTGTCCCCAGAACCCCAGAGGAGCCACTTTGTCCCCTCCCCACCTCTGCAGCCTTTCCGGGCCACCTCTACCCTCTCCAGACCCTTGCCAACTCCCAGCGCTGGCCTCCCTTCTCCTTTCCAGCGCTCTGGTGGACAAAGTCCTCTGTCCCAGAGGAAGCATAGGGAAGCAAACGGACCTTGCCGCAGTGTGCTTGTGTCCTGAGAGACGACTTCCTTTTATTTTTTGAGACTCATTCTATCACCCAGACTGAAGTCAGTGGCACAACCGCAGCTTACTGAAGCCTCGCGCTCCTGGGCTCCAGTGATCCTCCTGCCTCGGCCTCCCCAGTAACTGGGACTACCAGAATGCATCACCATGCTCGGCTCATTTTTTAGTTTGTTTATTTGGGAGAACAGGATCTTACTACATTGCCTAGGCTGATCCTGAACTTCTGGCCTCAAGTAATCCTCCTGCCTCGGTGTCTCAAAGTGCTGGGATTACAGGCATGAGCCACCACATCTGGCCTCCTGATGGCCAAATGGGGATTAGCCTCGCCCTGTCCTCAGAGCCTAGCAACAAGTGGAAGTGTCAAGACCAACAAGCATCCAGGGATGAAGTCTGGATGGTATTGACATCATCCACAGACTGTCTCCATGTCACTGCTCAGACATGACACTACCTTTTCTAGAATACAGTTGATAAGGTACCTACCTGTGCACTATCTCCTATACCTTGACTACCTTGTGGGTAGACCAGCAGAGAGATCACCTCTATTTTACAGGAGGAGAGCCGGGCACAGTGGCTCATACCTGTAATTCCAGCACTCTGGGAGGCTGAGACAGGAGGATTGCTTGAGCCCAGGAGTTGGAGACCAGCCTGGGCAACATAGCAAGACTCCATCTCAAAATAAATAAAAAAAAAAAAATAATAACAGGGGGCAAAATGAGTTCACAACGTCACACAGTTCTCTCAGCTAGGACTTTCACAGCTGAGCTGTGCACCAGCCCTGAGCCAGTCTCTGCCAGCTTCTACAAAACTTGGTGGTTGATTGACTGGTTTTTTCCCTTTCTCGTTTTGCCGAGGCAGGCATCCAGGAAAGAAAGCACAGGAGGGGTATGTCCCCTCCTAGGATGGCTGGGGAGCCCTCCCCCAAGTCCTGTCCAACAGGACCCCCTCACCTCCCGGCTCCTGGGCAGCTCCACGTGTTCCAGGAGGGAATAGGTGAAGTGGGGCTCGTAGATCATGAGGTCAGGCCGCTCGATGTCCAGGATGGCCTTGTCCTTGGGGATGGCGGCCAGGTCCTTGTAGCCCAGCACCTGATTGTCCATCTTGGCCTGAAGAGAGACGGGGAACACAAACTTGGGTCCGCATCCCGGCCTGACAAGTTAGACTGACAGTTTATTACCAAGAAACGGGCTGCCATTTCACACATTAACAATTCTAATATTTTATTTTTAAAGGTTTAGTCACCTTAAATAATGGTAGTCCTTTCCAGATTTCAAGTTGGTTTTTTTAGTGGTGTTTTTTGCTCGTTTGTTTTTTTGAGTAGGAGTCTCACTCTGTCACCCAGGCTGAAGTGCAGTGGCACAATCACAGCTCACCGCAGCCTCGAACCCCGGGGTTCAGGTGATCTTCCTGCCTCAACTTCCGGAGTAGTTAGGACTACAGGTGCGAATCATCAGCCTGGCTAATTTTCTGATTTTTATTGTAGAGACAAGCTCTTGCTATGTTGCCTGGTCTCAAATTCCTGGGTTCAAGTGATCCTTCTGTGCCGGCCTCCCAAAGTGTTGGGATCACAGGCCTGAGGCACAGCGGCCAATTTTTAATTTTTTTATTTTTTTAGTGATAGCCCTTCACCTAGCATGTAGGGTGCAACCAGACTAGCACAAGGGGGACACAGGGGAGCTCCTCAGGATCTCCGGGTCCTCTGCGCCCGCCAGCAGTGGCAGGACCACCACTTGGGGAGGCTCCGCGTGAGGCCTCCCAGCAGTCGGCGGCCCCCGCCCTCCCCT